GATATTTTCAGCTATTTCACTGCCCCCAAAGGACTGCTGCTGTGCACATAAGCCACCTAGCACTCAGACATAGCCTAGCAGAGAGTTTAAGTACATGCAACACTTGAAATTTATGACCTGTTCTTTTGATGCTCCCACTTTAAAGATGTTTATACAGATAGACATAGTTCAGGTGAGTAACATTTTTTTTTATCACAGATATTGGAGTTTTGTTTTAATTAACAGCACTTTTGCCACATAAAATTATAGTTTGGAAGGAGCTATTAATTTTTTTTTTTTTAATTAATATAGGTTGAATTTGTTACAGACATAGCTTACCAGTTTGGGCAGGTGCAATGGGTTGCACTTGGAAGAATGAAGCCTGTGCTTCCATATTTAATAAAAGCTTCAGCAAACCACTTTATTTTTCTTCTGTCACTCCAGTGGACAAACTGCCTGTCTTCTGTAAGACAGCATTTGCCACACACTCCTGAAACACCCTCACATTCCTGGTCGCCCTGCTTCTTCTGTGATGCTTCCCTCTGTTACCTACAGCTTTATGCCAAAGGTCAAGCAGCATTTGCTGGTACCTTATAAGAGCAGGAATCTTGGTTTATTCTATCTCAGGATATGAAGAGTTGCATCTTTCTGTACTTTGAAAACTCCCTGGGGACAGAATGTGATCCATGCAGAGCAGACGCGGTCATCCTTCATGAGGTTATTATGTTTAATACCATGCATATTAAATAAAAAAGTAATGAGACCATTTCTGAGAAGAGTAAATTTGCTTTTATGAGACTAGGGATTCTATTCACTCCAGCAATCTATCGCTTTCTTAATAATTTACAACACAGATTAGAGATTAAAGAAGAGTTTTCTGTAGACGTAAATAAAATCAGTGCAAATTGGTGACAATTAATGGTGATGTTCTTATTATATTCCAATATAGTAAGTAAACAGTTCTTCAGAAATCACAGCATGGTTAACAGAAAAGTATCTGGTTCACAGAGCTTACAAGTCTGTCCTGAAATAATGCCAGATCTTATGTTCATAAGATCTGTTTGTCTGCACTTGCTATGTGACACTTGATCCCACTGTGGTATTGCACTTCGGAATGGAAAAAACCCAACAGTTTAGTTAGGCTTTTAGAAAGCATTAGCTAATTATAGTTTTCATAATCTCCTTCATTTGGAACTAGTCTCCTACTTGTCATAGCTGAGATTATCCCTCCTCTTGAAGCATCCCACACGTTCATTTGCTGGATACTGTTTTTCCCACAAATATGTGTCTCTGATCTCTTAATTCTTCTAGTTTATCTTAAGTGAAGTAGTAGATTCTGAACTATTTGCTGTTTTATTTTTTTCCATGATTGATTTCAGTACAGCTTAAAAATTCAGAGAAAAAAAAAAATCAACCATTTTTCCTCACAGCTTTTCTGTGTGCATCTTAATTCAAATGTTATGAGTTCTAAAAATCATTGCACAACAATTTCCAAAATTCCCTAAGTGATGCCCACATGTCTCATTCTTCTTATCTTTAGCTCTGGATGTATTCTCCACACAACAACTTTCTGTATCTGATCATAAAAAATAAACAGAGTAATCAGCTTTTGCTGAAACTCAATATAGTTCTTATCTAGTGTTCAAACATTTTTCATAATGACAAGAAATGTTTTGTAACTTTTCAGATAAAATTTGAACCAGAGAACCATAAAAACACTTGGTTTGGGAGGAAACTCAGAGTCATCTAGTCCAACCTCCATAACAAATAGCAATCCCAAAATATCTCATATATGCTTCAGATCATGTCTTAGAATGACATATATAGTTTCACCTAGTTTATGATCTGCCTGGAAAGTTTATTCTTTAAGATGCCTCATTTCATTTCACTTACTGTGAAATTTTGGAAAAATTTTGGAAAGAAGTTAAATTTTGGAAAGAAGTATAACCAGTGGTCTCACTAGTTTCTGGATGGAATGAAAATACTTCCCACATGGTTGGTCATGGATATTCTACATCCAGGTGTATCATATGCTGATGGAGGATAATACTGAAACAATAAGGGAGAATAAGACTTTTGAAGTCCCAAGCTTTACACCAGATGAGATTAACGTTTCTACAAGAACAGCTGATTTTAGTGCAAGGCAACCACAGTGTTACATGAACAATTAAGGAAGCATCCAGAGGACTATCTATGTAATAAAAATAGTGAATAGACTCTGTGGATGATGTGACAGAAACAGAAAGATCAGAAAAAGAAAGACCTGTCTTCAGTTGACATGAGTATCTTCATTGATGTACCAAATGGGAATTAGGAAGGACAGAATTATTTCATTGCTAATATTGAGCAGTACTAAGATAATGTTGTTCTATGTATCTGCATTAGAGATAGTGGAGGAGTGCAGGTGAGGGAGACACAGGCCACAGCACCTGCCCAGACAGGGCAATCTATGTTTCCTGCACCTATTTCCTATCCATTTTCCAGTTTCGGTCTGCCTCCATTTTCCAGTATGCACATCTCACAGTCCTTTTCTGCATCCCTTCCAATGCAAACCATTCTGTGGTTTTGTGATTCTTCATGTCCTCCTTTTCCTGCTGGCATCTTATAGCCTCCTTCCCAGGCTCTTTACAATTTCTTGTTCAGATTCTAGAATGCAGAACCCAAAATACCTTCATTAGAACTGTTTTCTTGTCACCTCAGAAGTTGCCAGAGAATGCTGCTTATCAAAATCATGTAAGGGGTTTTTATCTGTCACTGGAAAAAACAGGAGACTATAGTCATGACGAATAAAAGCAACTATTTTTTTAAGACACTGTTACTGGGAAGAGTGAAATTGGGAAAAAACTGCAAAGAAACAGAGGGAATTTGAATTCTTACCAGAAGTAAGATTATCGTGCCAGGTAAAGATGTTTTTCTAAGCTAAAGTGACTCTTCTGGGGCTTCCTGCATCCCTGTTCTGTCAGCATACGAAGTGATGAGAGAGGCCAGGGAGCTGGTAAGGGACATGGAGATCTTTTCAGGATTTCTTTTTAACTTCTCCAGGGAAGTAAGTGTAAATGTGCAAGTGAGCTACCGTTCACCTCTCCCTTCACTAACATCTTTCTGTCTGTTGTCAAGATTACCTCATTGGCAACTTTCCTCCATCTCATTCTTTACCTTGTTTCAGGTTTTTCAGGCCATTTCTGCCCAGTAGAGGGCTGGAACACTTTTCTGTTTCTAAACTGCAGGGTGACCCACAGTTTGTTCTGTTGATTTGGTACTCACGGTTTTCCTTTATCTGTTGCCAGAACACTGGAGTTAATGTGTTTTGTTTTTTTTGCTACTTGAGAGAAGTAACTAGGTTGTATGGAATGTTATGGAAGAAAGGTCTGGTAGAGATAGGGCCAGCACATCCTGACATTTTCAGAGAATGCCTTGTATTGGAAGGGACCTTGAAGATCATTACTTCCAACCTCTATGCATGATATTTTCAAGCACAGCAGACATTTATCAGAAATTTGAGAAAGCTGATCCTCATTTCCCGGTAAGAAAATATGCAATGACTTAACATTAAAAGAAAACCACTTCCTCTTAGCCCCAGTCAGTATCAGGGGACTCATCTTCATCCCAGTGGCACTTCTGGTAGTGAAGGTGGTTCTGGACTAAATATATGCATTTTCTTCCAGATATCTTGCTCAATTTCTGTATAATCTGTGGATTAAATCTTGATCATTTAATCACATTCCTGTACTCCCAGTTTACATACTGACATGGCCCAACTGGAATTCTCTTTGCTTCACTTCAGTAAGAACTCTACACAGGCCTAAGGCAAATGCAAACATGCAATTTTCTGAAGTGCAGATGGACAAATGGCATGTCTGCAGGTGGTAGAGTTGGTCTAATGGTTATGGTGTACTCAAGAATACAGTGGCATTCCTGAAGATATTTCTGTTTTTCAACAAATGAGATTCTTAGATTACAACAGTTACATTGCTGCAGGTTTTGAACATGCCCTGACAGTAAAGGAAAGATACTGAAAAAGGAGATTTTGCAGCAGCCATGTTGCCCACCTGTCATCAAACATCTGGGGATGTTTGGATACAGCTACAAACTGCATTGTGTTTGTGGAGTTAATGAGGAGCAGAAAGAAGGAGAATGCCACTAACAAAATAGCATCTTTTGAATGCAATTCAGTGAAACTACATCAACAGTATAAAAATACGCATAGGTACAGATCTGCATATTACATTTGTATTAGGATTGCATTTGTTACTGTAGAGGCATTTTTCTGTATTTCAGTAGCACAAAAGAGAAATACATGCACAGAAGTGCTGCCACTGAAATTATTTTTTTTTCTCCTATTCACTTTTTATTAAAAAAACACTTTATGTAAATTCAAGAAACTGTAATAGAGTCACTGCATCCCTTGCAGGCTCACAGAAATTGTTTTTCATGAGTATTGCCAATGCAAACAGTGAAATTAGAGGATATGCTAAGTCAAACTCAGAATATCCAGCCAGAAATGCATCCAAATACAACCTTGAATGAAGTTTTAAGCAGTATTTAGTGAAAAATGTTTAATAATAATAAAAAGAAGCAGCTTTCAGTAAGCATAAGTCATTTGTTTTCCCACTGCTGTTTTGGTAGAAGGGTTAGCTCTTTTCTACCCCTTGTTTCTGAAGAAAGCATGAATTGTATGCTTTGTCACTGACAGAAGAAAAAATACTCCTCAGTTTTTCTGATTTTTCATTGCATGGAATATAGCTTAGTCTCTTAAGAGACCAGAAACAAAAGAACATTCTCAATTTGCCAGCACAGCTCGCAGTAAAACAGAAATGAACACTTTTGGTAGCACTTTTACAAACGTTCTCATGTCAGAAGTTGTTTTCAGACAAAAACCTCACCCTCTGAAAACAACTGTTTTAAAAGATATCAACGAATTGCTCCATGTTTCAGGTCAAAGGTATACAGTACACACGTTTCTGACTGCTGTCTCTTCACTGTGCCCAAGCAGGCAGCAGAGGGCACAGCTCCCACAGCGCAGATATGTGACCATACCTCCTCCTGTTCAAACGTCTTCTGACTGTTGAAACACTGCAGGTTCCACAGTGAGGGAGATCTCTGAAAGAAGATGTTTATATTGCATTATTTATCCAACAATAAATTACGTACAGAATCGCAGGCTTGAATGTGCCTAATAAAATTCCCAGAACACAGGAAATAGCAAGGATCAGTGGGGTATTTATTTAAATAAATATTTAAATTGTACAGAACGCCAAAAAACAGAATACACTTGAAACATAAAAAATTATTTGGACAAATATCTGCTCCAAACATGCAGCTCAAATTTATTCCCAAGCCATAGCAGTAACATTAGGCAAAGCTATGTTTAAACTGATCAGCAACTCCTACTGAAAGGTCTGAAGCCAGACCATTTATTATACAGGTAACAATTTTCAGCATATTTCTAGCAGAGTAATCTGATTTCAACCTGTGGACCTAAGCCCTCAAGTCTGTGGATTCTTCTCAAGGTGAAAGACAAAGGAGAAGAGTAAGCTTGATTGCAGTAGGCTTTGATTCTGTGTGTGTTTTTCCTTTTTCTGGTAAATATTTAAGTATTGGACAATCAAAAGTTTGAAAACATTTACTGTAGGGCATTTAAAATGCGCTATCATGACATATCATTTTATGTGTTATATCTATAAGCCAGATTAATTCCGTTGCAGATATATATACTTTCTTTCCACATTAATGAACAAAGTTAAAAGGAAAAAAAAAACAACCATACCATTGCTCCATCGTTTCTAATGCAGCTTGCTTCGTGCATCAGTATACCTGTAAATGATAAAAAGTGTACATTTATTACCAACATATCTCCACTTTATGAGGTTTAGTTTTTTGGGGTTTTTTTCTCCCTACAATTTTTCCTCAGATCAAGTGATGCGTGATGGCTTGGAAGCAACCTCATTCTAGCTAAGTCCAAAGCCTTCATAACCTGTCAACTATCCTACCACAAGAGTGTCTACAATACAGATAAGACAGGATCATCTAGGATGACCGTAGCATTACAAAAACAATGGTATCTTAGCTGGACTTGATGATCTGCAGATGTCCTTTCCAACCCCTACAGTTCTGTGATTCTGTGTGATTTTCTGCATACAATAACTAAAAAGTGGTGCTGTGAAAGCCAGGGAAAACTTTTTGAAACTTTCATTATTTTGCAGGGCTTTTTTTTTCACAAATGAATGAAATCTCAAGATTTGTAGTGTTTGATGCCTCAAAACTGAAAACTTTACATTTTCCTTAGATTTAATATTTTTCAGAATATCTTCTACTTTTTCTGGCTGGTGACCTTAAAATAAGAGTACTTTCAATTAATTCCTATATTATGTTTGTGTTTACTTTCACACTCATAAATAAGGTCAACAGGCATCTTGCTGTGAGTAAGTTAAACACATCTATAGTAGTTCACAGATTTAGAGCTTTAGACATTAAAATTTGCCCACATTGATTTGAAAGCCAGGGATTCACTTCTATTTATACTGCAAAGGTTTTGCCAAGGATATCACATTTCTTTAAGCCACTTTCCTGGAAAGGTGCTAACAGTTTCCCTGTGGAGTGTAGATAGCCTAAAATGTGGAGGCAATAATCAGTGGTTGATGGAATACAGGCTTGTGTTTTAAAAAGCTTGATACCATCCATGCTTGTTACCTCAGCCTTCTTACATCCTGTGCTTCTGTGACATTTCTTGTGGTTGCTGCTACAGCATTTTATTCCCAGAGTTCTAATGCTTTAGTCTAATTTGATAATGCCTGGACCACAAGTAATCCAGAGGATTGCACAAAAGCCACAAAAGTAATGATAAGATGCTTTAAATCATATTATTTTGTTTACATTTATAGATATACTTCAATCCCTATTGCAATTTGTGAAAACCTTTTACTTTGGAAAAAAAGTTTAGTGCTCTTTGAGTTCAGAAGTCTTTCTATCATGATGTTATGAAAACCCTTGAAATATTTTTTTGTTAGGTGGAAAGGGGACTGCAAAGTGCTGTGCAATAACATGCAATGTCGTGATATCACCTATCCTTCCTAAGCTGCATCATTTTACCTCCTGAGATTTAGTTATTTGGAGAAAAGCTAGTTGAACAGCCAAATTGGAATGTCAGAAATTAAAACAAGCAGTAAGGGTTTATTCAAAAAGATACTTGCTTCTTTTCCTTTGCATTCTGATTCGTAAGTTTTTAAAAAGACCCCCTTCGTAATAATACTGCTTTATCAATATTCATACAGCAAAAAAATGATATTGTTTTCAATAGCTTTTAAGTTAAAATTGTAAGAACCAAAAGCACTTTAATTAAAGAACACAAATAATTAAATAATTTAACAGCAGTGATAGAGTCAGAGTTAAAACTGAGGTGCACTTAGGGAGTATAAAAAGGTGTAAGGGAAGGAATCATAAGCCAGTTGTGTTGGGTTTCAAGAAGCAATCCAGTTGTCCTGTCAGTCAACCATGCTGTGCTGCACTGAAATCAGAGATATAGAATTACTTTATAGCCGGGCTGATGAGACAGTAAAAAGGTCATAACTCTAAAATCTGGCTCCTCTTCCAAGAGATCACTTTACTGAATCTCTGCCATGCTCACCTCGCACAGAAAGAATATTTTTCATAGTCAGAAAATTGACATTGATTATCTGATCAAGCAAAAGATACTGTGGCAGTTTTTCCACAGTATATTCCCATTGCATCTATCCAACAAGACAAGATTTATATTTCCCTTTCCAATTATTCTTAAAACTTCACTTCTTTCTTTGTTAGTAAGTACAAAATAATCTCACTCCAGTTTGCTATATTGTTTTTTACTGACTTTCTTTTTTTTTAATTACATTATGCCCATATCATGCTAGAATGCACCATCTCTTTCACTCACATTATGCAGTTTCAGATCTCTCTGATTTAGTCTTGTCTACTTGGTCACTTTCTTTTTTCTGTGTTTCCATGGGTAGTTCTTGACCACTGACAAGAAGTTCTTTCCTATTGTTTATATATATCTAACTCTCTTTGACTACTACTACAGGTGACCAATAGCAGACAAGAAATTGGCTCTTCCACTCCGCTGTGAGTGTGACTATCTGCAGTTGATTTGCTGCTCTGGCTTTCACAGGAGTGAAGGAGCTTGTCCTGCATTATTTCAAAGAAACAGTGATAACTGATGTTAGATCTGGTTAAAATTCAGTATTTCTGTTCTGCAAACTTTATGAATTTTACTCTTGGCTGCTAATTTTCCTAAGAAAAGCATTTAAATGTGCTTTGATTCACAAAATGAGAAACGTTTGAGCCTTGAACAACTATGGCCAAATTCTCAGGCTTAGATGTCCCTCCAGGACCCCTAGCAGTCCTAGAAGTCAAACAGGGAGATACACTTATGGGCCATTAATAACCTTTAACTCACAGCTCAAAACCCAGATTTTCTCCTCACTGAGAGGGACTGCTAGTCCCAAGTGCCCAGGACAAAGTGGCCATTTTGGGCCTCCTGGCTTGGCTGCCATACAGTTCCAGATACATTGGCTGCATCTTTTTACTGTGTGATGCCACATTTAGTTTCCAAAGCCTCAAAACTTGGTCTCTGACAGAAACCTGAGTCTGTTTTGACACTGAACATGGTACTAATTTAGCACAGACACTCTAGAAGGTGGCAATCAAGGCTATGGCTGGCCTCCTGCTTCCCCACACCCCTGCTGGGGTGCTGAAGCCTTGTGGTAGGACCTGTTACCGAGCTTTTCAAAATCTCTCCAAGTCAAAGCCTGGCCAGGCCCAGGCTTCCTAATACTTCAGATTGATCTGCCAGTTTTGCTATTTTCGTTTCTCACATAGTTTACATAACAAGGTTTTCCAAGGACTGTAAGTTGTGTGCTTTTCACATCAAGCAGAAATGTGGTGATGAAGTGAGACACTGAAATCTGGCTGGGAATTTTAGTAATCTGGCTAAGAAACTGGATAGGAACTAAGCAGGTGAAGCTGTTTCTCTTTCAGCAGAGGTCTAAAGTGGTTATTTTCCATTCTTGTAAGGCATAATTTCAAACAACAAAAAATTACCAGAAAATCGGTTCTCAGCTATGACTGAGATTCACCTAAAACCTATTATATTTTTAGACATCAGTGCCACGAGTTCTACAAGTTATATAGCGTTACTTGTACAATAGTATCTGTAAACCCCAACGTCAGCTATGGACATCTGCAAAGGCAGATATCAGTAGCTTTCTATTACTGAGAATAGTCTGTAAGAAAAACAGGAAAATACCATTGGGCTCCATTCCTGCAACTCAGGATGACAAGGCAATGCTCACACAGTCTGTGATAAACTTTGTTTTATAGAGAAATGATGATTACATACGCTCAGTTCAAATGTTTACAAATATAGATAATAACACAACTATTTAACTATGCTGCAGTATTTATCAAGCATACACTCCTAAAAATACAATCACGCTTTCAAGCGTGTATGATGGAGAGTTTAAGCCAGACAAAATCCCATACTTAGCTTTAAAACAGAGTCAGAATGTCATATCTTACTGATGATAGACGTGACTGTATGTGAACGTTCTTGAACTGCAAAATAGGACCTACTTCAGGAGAAAACTTTGGAAGCTGGGCTTCATTCATGCACTTAGTCAGGTATTGATCTGCAAGAAGATTGTCTTGAAGATTCCCAGCAGTACAAAACTGGCTTGAGACGCTTGATACCATTCCCCAAATATCTGAAGGACTTGTAGGACTTGATAGGCTTTGGATGACCTTTTTTATTAATCATAGCATTGTTGATATTAATTTACACAGCTTAAAGTAGAAATCTTCATTTGTTTATTTGTTTTACTGAGGACCTGATCAGTGGCACAAGTTATAACTTATTGCCAATGGAGACCATCAGTCTCCTGTTGATATTAAGACCATGGAAGTAAAAAAAGATGCATCACTGGGACTTCTCAAAATGTTCTGGAAACTTTCCACATGCAAAGACATTTTCAATGTTGGACACTCATTCCGTGTGAATTTTGAAGATAAAAATTAATGGGGTTAGTAAAAGGGGGATCTGAAAAAAAGCACCAGAGATCTTTTCCTTCCATTCTCTTATTTTTCTAATTCTTGTTGAAAACAAGATTAGATGACCTTTAGGTGTATTTATAAAGCTGACGGCATGCTTTCTAATTTTATGATTTCTATCAGTTGGCAACACCTGTAAGTGCCACAGAAGATCCAAATTATGTCCCAAAAAAGTAAGACTTGTTGGCAAGTTTCTAGTGTTTATGGCAAAAAAATGACTGATAATTTCCCAGTAGAAAACATCCAGAATAATAACTGTTTTGGGGAATAGAAGGTAGAAAAAGACTTTCTAAACATAAACATTCAATTGCTTTTTGGTTTTAAAGCATCTTGATGGAGGAGATTTATACATACATAAAAGTTAATCACAACATCCTATGAAATCACTTGGGCCCAAATTATTTTTCCTCTAATGATCTTGTTACCTTCACAGCAAGGGAGGACAGTCCTTTGTGCTACTTTGTGTTTTGCAAACACCTAAAGAACATGAGGCACATAACATTGTGCACAATGAAATACAGGTGCTTGTCACTATCCTAGGAATCTATACACAAATGCATATGTAAGCAAAGACTTTATGATAATGACCAATAAACACTATCCAAGTATACCTGTGACATCTTATATTTTAAATTCATAAAATATAAATGGATATAATTGTTACTCTGTAAAGAAAGAGGCCTTTAAAATACTCTCACAAATAATAAAGATTTTAACGGGAAGTGAATTTCACAAAGTAGGACTATTTCTTCTGCAATTACTGACATACAGTCAGTATTCCTGGCAAACCACCGCTTTTCTGTATGCTTTACCGTATGACTTGAATGTCACAAAGTCTTTACTGATTGATGTCTTTGTTGTATTCTATGCATTTGCAATGCTGAGTGGTAGATATGTTGCTGCAACCTAGACTGTAGCAGTTTCATTTCTGCTGGGGCCAAACTGATAAGCAACAGAGCACACAAGGGATGGAAAGAAATATGCCTCAGAAATGGAGTCAATGAAAGAATAGCCAAAGTCACACTTTCAAAATCCAGACACATCCATCAGTACCAAGGGGAGGGGAGGGAGAAATACGCATGGGTAGATTGCATTGCATTGATGATAATTCTATTTTGCAAAAGCAGTAGTATACTTGCATGTAAAAAGTTGACTTCACAAGAAAGAATTAGGGTTTTATGGTCAGTACTTATTAAGCTAAATTTATCTGACCTGCATTTAAGTAGTGAAATAGGGCTGAAAGCTGCAGATACAAAAGTAACACCAGCTAAAGGTTGAAAATTTCAAATATGCAAATACATTCATCTTGTTACTAAATCAGCTGCTTTGTAGAGAGTCTGATCGCCCAGTGCCCTGCTATAATTGTAGCTTGAGCTCCTCACAGACAAAAGCATTCTGATTATTGCAATGTGGGTTTTGTTGGCTTTTCAAAAACAGCTGATAAGATGGAAACACAGGAGAAACTAATGAAGAGAAAAGGTAGGAAAAGTTATCCAACAAGAACCCCAGCAGCTGTCAAGCACATTTACTGTCTTCAGATAATGAAGGAAGATCTGTTTTATAGATAACAAAAAACACCTCTGAAGTAACAAATTTTTGTTTTCTAGTATCTTTGTCCTGCTAACAGTTATCAGCATTCCAAGCAAACAATTCACGCTCAATCCACGTAACGTTATCCTTTGGCAGGTTTTAGATTTTGAGAGTATTACATATGACATGACAACCTAATAAAAACAGATAATTTGTTCTTAATTTAGGCACGTGGAACACACAGCCAGAAGTGCATTCCTGACAGGAGGTTTTCTGCTTTGGAGAGTGCTAGAGCTATCTCATTTGATACAGACAAGATAAGAAAGGGGTGTCCCTCTGGAGTTGCTTCCTGCCATAAATAGATAGTGCACTCAAGCAGTGTTGAAGCAGCACTATTAAGTGTTTATTAGTTTGCCTTGAGGCAATGCTTTAAATGATTTTTAAACAGTAAAAACAGGTTGAAAAAACTTGTTCCACTTTAAAATATACCAAAGTACTTATTAAATCAGAACTTTAAAATTCTAGGCAATATATGATAACTTCCATGTTGTGTCTCTAAATGGCAGAATTTCCTCTTGCAATAGAAGAAGTTCAGGTACTTTTCTGGCCATGTTGCTGAAACATGAAACAAATGGTTCTGTTCTACAAATTGGAGTTACATAGTTGGTAAAGAATTGTGAAGCAAATTAATGGGTGTGAAGGTAGATAATGAAGGATACTATGATTTCCACATTCTTTAAGTTTTGGAAATTTATATTTCACATAAAAAAAAAATAGCACAAGAGATAATAAGCAATGTATTACACTTAATAAAAGTTTCTTAAAATGCTACTAAAGCAAGGACTAGCAAAACTGAGAAGTTGTAGAAATATTCATGTTGAATGCAAACCATCTAATGCCATTATACTTATGAACATCAATGCCATTATACTTATGAACATCAATCTTTTGCAGTAAGACTAATGTGTATAAACATTGCACCATGTGTAAAAAGTGAATACACTCCTCAAAACCCTGTTTAAGCTATTACATTTTTAAACATATGGAAGAGAAGACATGCACTGAAGACTGTTAGCAGTAGGGTTAGAAAAAAAACATATATACCTATTAAGCTGTGATTTTCCACTTCTTTCTGTACTTACCCCTAAATTGCTTTTGGGAATATTTGTAGTTCTGCCCATTTGAAGATACTGGCTGGATATGGGAACTGACAATGCCTGAACAATTCAGCAGAACACCATAAATAAGCCGGCGTTTGTAAGCAGGTTCTCAGTTTCATGATCAGACCCTGAGAGTGCAGAGTGGCATTTCTAACAGTTGTACTCAAATCCCAGCATATCTTCATAATAGAACCAGCAGAAATGATTCTTTTCAATTGCTTTTCAGCTTCATCTCATTAACTGGAATGCAGAGAAGTATTCAAATGTAGCCGAGGCTTTCTATAAGTTGGATGACTTGGCAATTCTCACTGTTTTCTGAAGGTCAGTTAATGACATACTAATAACATGTGCATTTCTCTTTTCTTATCAAAACTGCACTCAGTGATGAGGACTAGAAACAGCATATCGTTTGTGTTAGATCAGTGGAGATGACTGTCTGTTATCCCAGCTTAGACAATATTGCCAACTTTGCCCATCTCTCTACACGGACGTTTAGCCCAAATCCACATTTCATGCACAGAGCTTTCAAGAAGAGCTGTGCTTTGCAGGCATGCTTGCTTGAGAGCTTGTGGAATTTCACCCACCTTTGTAACAGGTGGTGCTAACCTTTCGTGTTTCCACTGTTTACAGTGATGTAAACTTTCACAGAAAGACCGTTTGAGTCACATGTGCTACTACAATCAGAAAATAAAATTTTAAAGCACCGTTCCAAGAACTCTTGAAGCCATGCACAGAGTCTACTTGGCCTTTTTGCTGAGGCAGCATAAAATAATCCACACTAATAAGGAATTCCTTATGTTAAATTAATGTCATAAAACAATATATTATTATTATATACACCAAAATATAATTACTCATAGTCCACACTGTAGAAAAATACCGGCAAAATCACCTTTCTGAATGCTTCCAAAGTGAATTTGAAGGATAAACACAGCTCTTATAAAACAAAGCCATCATATACTTCTGAATTACACATTAGTACTTGTATTACTCTTTGCATCATGCTAAAAAACAGAAGCAAAACTTCTTGTTATTTTCACAACAGTTCTAAATTTATCTGACTCACAGTGGGTTTGCAAAGCTGATCATATCAACATTTTAAAAGCTTATTCTCTGTGATGTTAGAATAAACCTTCTGTCAAGAATTCAGGTTTTTAAAACTATTTTTTTTTTTAATTATTACTTACAGCTTGATCCGTGCAGTGAAAACCTGACGGTTGTCTTGAAGGCCTTAGATTCAGAAAAGACTGAAGTAAACATCATCACAGCCTGATCATAATATGCTGAATAGTTAAAATCCATGCTGTTTCTCTTCTTCCTTTTTGAAGACCTCAGATTATCATAGAATCATAGAATCACTAAGGTTGGAAAAGACCTAAAAGATCACCCAGTCCAACCGTTCACCTATTCCCAATAGCTCCCACTAAACCATGTCCCTCAACACAACATCCAGTCTTTCCTTGAACACCCCCAGGGTCGGTGACTCCACCACCTCCCTGGGCAGTCCATTCCAGTGCCTGACCACCCTTTCTGAAAAGTAATACTTCCTAATGTCCAGCCTGAATCTCCCCTGCTATAGCTTGAAAGCATTCCCTCTGGTCCTATCACTAATGACACGAGAGAAGAGGCCGACCCCCAGCTCACTACAACCTCCCTTCAAGAAGTTATAGAGAGCAATGAGGTCTCCCCTGAGCCTCCTCTTCTCCAGGCTGAATTAAGGCGAGGATTCAGCTGAAGGAGCTGTTGTGATATGGGGCTGCAAGTATATTCCTCAGCATGAGTTTATGGGATCCTGATTCCTCAGTTCTATACGTCCATCTGCTTAAAATTACCTTTGGTGCCCATCACCAGCACGGCCTTGGAACTGAAGTTGAGAAGAGGAGAAAAGGGAGAAGAAATAACATCAGAACTGTGTGTTTCCTAAACTGTCTTGAAAATCCAGGGCAGCTTCTGCTAAACCTTGTGCAGCAGTACAAAATAGGTGAGATGGGATCTGAATATCTGAATTTTAGTGAGGCACATTAAAAACACAGTATAGCTTTTCCCATACAATTTTAAAAAAGAATACAGACTTTGCCTCTGAACATGCAAACATTAAATCTTCCATTAACCTTGATGCACAGACGAAGATTAGCTGTATACTGAAGTGTTTCACTTCCTCAGGAGCACAGCACCTTGAAAAATAAACCCTTTGGTCAGTGATGATTGAACCAACTCTTTGATACCTAATAGGATTGGGGATGTAGAGGAAAGTGTTTTTTTGTTCATTTGTTTTTGTTTGTTTATTTTAAAGTAATATTGCTCATTATTGTTGTTGCCTGTTTGTGTCACCAGGGTGATTCACCTCTGCTGCTATGAGAAAACATTAGTGTTTTGAAATAACTTCATATGATTTAGGAACATATCAGACTGTAGTCTGAAATTTTAAGCAAATGAAATCTTAATCACGGGTTTCATTAAGCCAACATATCATCTACAAGGTAAACAAGCTCCATTTTCTGATTTTGATCCTTCAAGTCTACTGCATCTTTGGATCTTCAATGGCTCCCTGACTCATCCTCCCCTCTATAAGAGTGTTATCTAGATTTTCAAATAACCTCTTTCTGTCTGCTCAGAGTACATACAGTATTACAAAAAACAAGAGCTTCTGGGACACTGTCATGTTGAATTGCATTGCTGCATTTTAGGTCAGTTTGTCTCACTTGTAATATAAAATCAGTATTGCCTTTTTACAGCATTATTGTTCTTGATAAACATTTACAATTCTGCCTCAGCCCGGTTAGTTAAGACTACTCACATCTTGCAAAGTCTTGTGGGAGCTGAGATAACTTCATATTTCTGGAGATAGTTCCATTGCTCAGGTAAAGATGGTTTGCTTCTGTGCATATGTGTATTTCCTTGTAGTGATGTGTTTCCCAGAGCAGCAGTTCTTCCCAATTCCATTCGTATGAGACTTTCCCCCAAAAATACATACTTTCATTAAACGTCAGCCCAAATGTGTCTGAACAAGGGATTTTGTGGTCTGCCAAAACAGCAAAATGGCGCAGTGCATTACTTACTCCATTAAGTGCTATCATATGGAGCTGCACTGGCTGCTTCCCATTTTATAACACTGTCTGCAGGACAGGCTAAAAATCCAGTCTCTCACTACTTATCAAGAAAAGTACTCATTCTGTTCTAAACTCTTATGAAACTGTCTTGTATTGTGAGTGAAATTAATAGGTACATAGGTTCTTTGAAGGAGAGTGTATGCATCTAGATGAGATGTCTGTTGCTTTTTGCAATTAAATTACTTATGTTACTGGAAATTACTGATGGCTACTGTTTTGACTAATAAAAATGGTTTATTTTTCTGAACTTCTCAGTTCACCTGATGTATGTTGAATTGAAAATAAACTAATAAAGAAAGAACCTTTAAATGAAATAGTATTCTAACAGTGTTTTCAGAGAAATTGTGCTATAATTACTGTTTTATTTCACCTGCAGCATCTAATGAAGAATATGTGCACTGATGCAGAAATAAAAGTATGTAGGTCTGGTTTCTTGAGCAAAGCAATGCTCAGCTTTACAAATGGCTCCAGCATTGACAACTGAATTATTTGATAGCCAGCAGTGGCAAAGGTCTAGACAAGATAAGTTAGACTCCACAAGATACAGCACAAATCACTAGAACAGAAATTAGGCTTCCAGGTGACCCCATTATGTGATTTGAACATTGTCTATCTGAAACAATGGAGTACCTTCATTATGTGATTTGACTATTATCTGTTGAGGTATTGCAGCACGTTACTACACATAGCCTTGACATTTGTATGCCTTTGGATATACAGCAGTGCTGTAAATATTTGCAGTTCCTCACACTTCCTCCATTAAGCACAGAAAACTTTCAAATCTGTTTTCCCAACATATCCAAAAGCTGAATTGCTTAAATGCAAATTATGACTTCTAAAGCAGTCAGCTGTGTTCAGCTGGGCCTATTCCTTGGTCCATTTCTCTTCCCAGCTAACCAGTGTGTGCAGCCAGCAACTGAAGCAACAAAGCCTTGGCCTGTGACTGGTCACCCTAATGTAGTTGCAGCAATTGTCACACTAGAACAAGTGAAATCATTATCTAATCACTTGCCCTAGTCAGTGTGCTCTGGACCTGGCTTCTACACCTTCAATGACTTGTGCCAAATTATCCTGCTAAGGACAATGGCAGAATTCAGAACTCAAACTTAATTCCATACAATGCATTTGTGAAAAAAACAGATATACCATGATCTTTCTTTATTCAGTTCCTAAGCAGGTAGCACCGCTATGGTTAACTTTACTTACAGAACAGCTTTTGACATAACACTAGCCAATTTATACCTAAAAAAAAGGAGAGGTCCTTTAGTCTTATTCTCCTAGTTCTGAACTAAATGAAGACTTATTAAATTGTAATGCAGAAAAGTGAACATAGAGAGCAGAAAACACTTAGCAGTTAAAATGTAATCTTTGAGCTCAGTCTTAAGACCTTCAGCTTTAAGAATCAGAATCTCCCTTTTCTCAGAAAAGCTTATTTTTTGAATGCTGAGTCAGGTATAAAATGGGAGTTTATTCATAAGTACGGGAATGAGGAGCTCAGGGTTCATAGGCAGTCCCCATTCCTGTGCTAATTAAAAAAAAAAAAGAAAAATCAGTTCTCAACTGAATAACCATGCCTTGCTGATCAGCGATACCTATTCCAATTACCAGTTCAAGAGAACTAGTGAAATATGTCTTTCTGTCCACAGCTATATGAAAAGAATTACAAAGAGGCCAATAATTCCCTCTGGTAATTGATACCTTCTTAATAAGCAGTGAAGAAACCAGAATGCTTGTTTCTTCCTTAGTATAGCAATTGCATCAGAATCATAGAATGAATCATAGAATGGCCTGGGTTGAAAAGGACCATAATGATTATCTAGTTTCAACCCTCCTGCTGTGTGCAGGGTCACCAACCACCAGACCAGGCTGCCCAGAGCCACATCCAGCCTGGCCTTGAATGCCTCCAGGGAACTTAAATTGCTTTGAAAATCAAATGGATGTACTTATGGCAACTAAGAAAATGAAAAAGCAATTCATAGTCTAGGAAGATGTAAGGGAAAGGAAATATCCTTGACTTGATCAAGGAAAGACAAATTCCTTTCATAGTGTCTCTAAACTTTGGCTAGCAGTGAAGTAGAGGTGGCTTATTTTTATAACAAAGAAAATAGCAAAATGAAAACTGCATTTTATTTTAAGACATAAAACTATCGCTATATTGACATCTACTGGCTACATAAAAAAGAGTGAGAAAAAAATTAGTGCAGTTGTTTGAATGGATGATTGAGTGGCAAAGACTTGAGAAAATTACACAGAAAACCTAAGTATTTTAAGTCTTATTTTAAGAATACAATTTTCTGTCTTTTACATTAAAGTTAATCATTTTCTCAGTTGGTGTTTGATGTTCAATCCATACATAAAAATATGGATACCTGTGTGCTGTGCATCAGTAGCCAAACCCCATAGTAAATCACTCACAGTTCCAAATGTAGACAAATGCATGCTACCACTTAGAAAGATATTCTGGAGAACCACTGCAAAATTTCTCATTCTGTCAAGAGTCACAAAATAAAGTAACTGTACTTGAAATATAGTTCCCTCATAGCTCTACATTTGTCAAAGAGTAGTTCCCCTTAACATATAGCATCTGATCAGCAAATCAGACATCACATCGGGTTCCAGCAGCACCTTCCATCTTCAGCATTGTCAGGCTCATTAAAGAGTCATTTGTGGTGCTTACAGGACAAAACCAGATAGATTACATTCATTTCTTCTTTATCCATTTCTTCCTAATTCAACTTCTTATTCATGTTGAGGAAAACAGTATTGTTATAACTACACAGATGTCAACCAATGTGTGTGCTTTGAGAACACTCAGAAAAAAACATTGTAGATGAGATAGCTCAAGGCAGTATAGGCAATGGTTGATGATACAGATTAGGGATTTTACCACGTGTTCTATAGTTGCCTTGGAAAAGAGAAGACCTTGTCTTACTTCATAGCTCTGATCACCCTTGTATCAAGCACAGCAATACAGGGAATGCAGAGTTGACCAAACTTCTGGCAGTTCAGAACAGGAAACAGAGTGTGAAGGCAGCTAACAGCAATGCTGGGCAGTAAAATAGAACCCTGAGAGTTGAAGTCACTCACAGTAGATCATTTAGAAAACAGTCAGATAAAATACTACATCTTGAAGCTCTAAAAGTAGCTTTCAGATCAAGCCACTTGTTAAAATCAGCGTATTCACTGGCTGTTCTGACTTTTTTGA